GGGCCCAAAGGCATTGCCCAGGGGGAGCCACTGTTCTAGTCTCTGGGGATTTAACCATGAACACAGCGGGCCCAAATCCTGGCCCTCATAGAGGCCATGGGCAAATGCAAGGATGGGAGTTCATCTTCGCAAACTTGGATGTGGATTTATTCAGAGCCTGAGATTGAAGCTATTGGGGGAGCAGGCAGGGGGCAGAGGAGGCTGGGTACTCGGGACGGTCCCTAGGTCTGCCCTGCTCGGAGAAGGGCACCGATCAGGCTCGGGCCGCACCAGGGGTGGCTGGTGACCTCGGCGGGCTGCTGCTAACGTTGGCTGGGTCCTGATCCCCTGAGTCACCCTGCCTCGCCCCAGATTCTCTGCCTTATAGCTCGGTCATCTCAGCTGAGACAACTCTCTGGTTTTGGAAGGGAATTTTCCTGAATGCCACCGGCTAAGCTCTCTGGCTCTGAGCTTTGGCTGTGCCACAACCGTCCTTGCCTCCTTCCTGGGCTGGGCATCCTCCCGGTGGGGCGGCTGCCCTGCCCTACTTCTCCCTGCTCTGGCCCCAGCGGTCAGCTTCCTGTCTTCTTGCCCCTGCCTGTGTGGGACTCTGCGGCAAACCTGTTTCTGCGGTCAGCCCTCCCTGCTGCCCACTGCCACCTCCTAGACCTCAGCCTCGCAGCTGCCCTGGCCCGGCCCTCCCCAGCTGCCCAGTTGGAGTCTCCCCAGCACTTTCTTCCTCTTGGGCTATGTCATCCCTTTCAGAGCCAGCACCGTCCTGGCTGCCCCTGCCCCACCGCTGGAGGGAACACGCCAGGTTCTTTCTCCGGTGGCTGTGCTCTCACGGAGTGGCAGCCCAAGGGTGGGCGCCGGGCATGGGGATGGGGCTGGGGGTTGGGTTTTTCAACCTCTGTTGACATCTGGGGTCAGATAGCTCTTTGTTGTGGGGCTTCCCCGTGCGCTGTAGGGTTTTCAGCCGCATCCCGGGCCTCTACCCACCACACGCCAGTAGCACACCCGCCTCAGTTGTGACAACCAAAAATGCCTCCGGACACGTCAGATGTCCTGTGGGGAGGGAAATCGCTCCTGCTCGAGAACTGCTGGGCTGGGGGATGGGAGCGACATGTCTCAGGGGTGGCTAAGACCACATTGGAGGGACCTGAGAAATGACCTAGTCCAAATCCCACATTTTAAAGGGAATTTGGCCTTGGAGAACCAAAGACTGTTAGTCACACAGGGGAGCAGCATGATGAGAGAGGTGTTCTAGAAAAAGGATTCAGGCCGCTCCATCCAGGCTACACTGCAAAGCAGAGGCCAGAAGCAGGGAGGGCAGTGGGCCGTGACCCAGGGGTGAGGCCAGGGCCAGGGCGGCTTGTCTTGCCGCCTGTCCTGCCAGTGGGCTGAAGGTGCCGTGTGCACTCCCAGGTCTCCCGGGGAGAGGCGGTAGAGACGGGGTCTGCACCAAAAGCCGTAAACCAGGCTCTTGCCCCAGCCTGGCAGTGTGACTGGGGACCTCCATCTGCCCCTTAGGGTCCTTACCTATAAAATTAAGGACAGATTTCCCTGTTGCCTTCTTGCCTAGAGGCTTTGCTAGTGCCGGATCTGGAGATGGGAGCGGGGTGCGTCCCGGCAGGAGGCCCCTGAGGATAGGGAGCGTGGTAGGGGGGTGTGCGCCGTGGCAGGGGGGTGCACGCAGCGCTGCGTCGTGCTGCATGGGCCTCTCTGCTGCAGGACTCGCGCACGGCAGCCCAGAGTTGTGTGACTGCTGCCTTGAGCCGGTGGGGAGGCCGGAAGGGGAATGAGGACTTTGAGAGGGAGGCTCGAGGGAGGGAGGTACAGGCTGCTGAAGGGGACGCCTCACCTGTCGGCAGCAGGTCTTACTGGGCTCAGCCTGGGGCCTGGGAGGACCGCAGATGGGAAGTGAGAAGGGAGGCGGATTTGGGACCGGGCGCCAGCTGTGTTCTCCGAGTGTTGGAAGGAGGCTTCTTGGGGGAACTTGCAGACCAGATCAAAGAGTGTGGAATATGAAGTGAGAGAACCATCCGGAATAGAAATGACCAGCTCCCGGGAGTCTCTGACCTGTTGAGGTTTCCCCAGACAGGCCCCTGGCAGGGTGGCAGTCCCCGCGTCAGAGTGGAGAGGGAGGGACCCCGCCAGCCGCTGCCCATGAGAAATGGCTTCTGGAGAAAGCTGGAGTCCCAGGACTCGCCCAGGCCCAGGAAGGTCTAGCCCTGGGTTCAGGGGGCCCTGCACGTCTCCAGCTGCGGGGGGCGGGGGCGGCCTCGGGTCCCAACAGGTGCCTGTAGCGAGGACAAGCAACGGCGGGGTTTCCGCTTACTCATTTCGGGGTCTGGCTTTTAGAGCCATAAATCTTCACACAAAGATCACGAATTTTCTATGGTATGATTAATGAAAGAGAAATTGAGACGGCAGCATAGACACTGACCAGACTGAGCAAAGTCGGAGTGACGGGTTGGAGAGTTGCAGCGTCACTGCGAACCCGGAGCTTCTGAGGTGGCCGGGGGCGCCACCTAGCGGCCACGGGCGGTGCCGGGCCCCATTCCCCACCACAGGGCGCTGTGTGCTACAGTTGGGGTGCTGAGGGTCTGAGTGTGCCCCTGCCTTGGGAGCCCTGGCCTTGTTCCACCTGGGGCTGCTGCAGGGTGAGGGAGCCGCAGGACCCCTCTCCACAGTGTGGGGGACCCAGGCAGCCGCTCGACTTACCTAACTCTGATCCCCCTACAGCTCCTCGAACCATCTCTAGTTTGGTAATACGTGGAAACATCCGCCTTTTTTCCCTGCGCAGTCTGGGCCACCTTTCTGTTTCCCAGTTGATGAAAATCCCACTCATTTTTCAAAGCCCAGCGAGGCCTGTCAGTATTGCCTTCAAAATCCATGTCAAATCGGACCACTTCTCACTGCGCCTCCATAACCACCTGGGATAAGCCGCCACCTCTCGCCTAATCACAGTGGCCCCTGGTTGCTCTCCTGGCCACCCCCCCACCCCCACAGTGTCTTCTCTGAGCAGCAGCAAATCAGACCCTGTCGTTCTCCTCGGGGCTTCCGTCACACCCAGGATGCTGCATAAGCTCTTTACCTGCGGGGTCCCAGGTGACCTGCCCCGGCCGCCCCACCTACTTAGTGTCTTGCTTCTTGTCACCTCCTGCGCTCGGTAGCAGCCACTGGGCCAGCCTGTGCTTCCTTGGCTGGCCAGGCTGTTCCTTCTCTCCAGAACATTCTTCCCCCAGGTATTACATGGCTCTCTCATTTGTGTCCCTGCTCAAGCGCCGCCTTTGCTGAGAGGCTTTCCGTGTGCACCCTCTCTCAGTTACTCTCTGACTTTCTACACACCCTCGTTTTTCTTTGTGGCACGAATCAGCACTTGAAATCCCGCCACGCTTGCCTGAGTGAGGGCCACGTCCCTGCAAGCATCCGCTCTTCACGAAGGCAGGGGCTTTGCTGTCTCCGGCTCTCGGAGCAGGGCCTGCACGGGATGCGTGGCAGCTCACTTCGGGTTTGTGGACTGAATGAGCGAAGGAAATGCCCTCCCCCAGGGGACGCCTCTGTCCCTTCCCCTCACCGTCCAGAGCACATGCCGTACCCGTCTCTGCCTGACTGCGGCTGCCTCGTCTGAGCCCCGTGTGTCCGTGTTTCCTCCCTGGAACCGGAGCAGCGTGGGGGCAGGGCCCGCTCGGCCACGGAGTCGCAGCTGCCAGCACATTCCCCGCACGCAGCGACTGCTAGGAAATGCCTTTTCAGAGAGCAGCGCCTGGTACTGGCCACCCACTTCCCACACTTCATTTCACCTAAATCCTCACAGCAACCCGGGAGGAAGGTGACGATGGTCTCATCTGCGCGAGAGGAGTTCACAAGGCCACACGGCCCGACAAGCTGGGGCTGAGCATCCAGCCCGTGCCTGTGGCTCCCAGGCCCTTACCCCCTCACCTCTGCTGCCTGGAACGCTGCGTCCGCCACCTGTGTGTTAGGGACTGCCTCTTCCAACGGGCTTCTCTGACCGAGACGGCGATTGCCTCCTCTGAATGCCTGTCGCATTTATCTGGCACCGGTGTATGCTTCCTGGGGTGGTAGATGCTACATTTTTATTGCTCCCATCCAGCCAGAACAGGGGCCCCAAAAGGCAGGTCTCCACAGGGGTTGCAGGTGTTCTGGTGCAGCACGCCGCATGCTGTCGGTGCTCAGTGATACCGGCTGGCCGGCGGATTGGCTCCTCAGACTCCGCACACCTCCCCCAGCTGGCGGAGGGCGCCGGGGAGGGGCGGCGATACCGAGCATAGAATGAGGCAGACGCGGACACTTGCAGCTGATGCAACAGAAGCTTCCCCAGGTGACGCTGGTGGTGCCGGCAGCCCCAGGGGTGCCGTGGAGCAGTCGGTTCTCGGCTTTTGGGCTGATCGTGCCGGCAGCTGGCTCGGTGGGGTGGATGCCGCAGACTCGCATCCTGTCCTCAGCCAGCCCGACCGCTGCTTTTCTTTCTCTACCTGCCGGAAATTTGTTCTTTAGGCTCCTGAGAACAGTGGGCAAATGGCCCTTCTGGTCAGGGCAACAGGACACGGTCACTGGACGTTCTGCCTCCAAGAAACTAGACCCTGAGGTTCTCGTCCCACCCCAGCAACAAGTCCACACTCGCTTTCCCCGGCCACGGCACCCCCGCCCCGGCCTCCTTCCTCAACCGCCAGGGCCTCGCCGCTGTCGGGTGGAGTGACCCCAACCACTCCAGTACTGTCAGTATTTGCTACGTGCTTTGGCCTCTGTCTCATTATATTTGATCCTCAGAGTGATCCTCTGAGTGAGGTCCCTGAGCTGGTGCAACCCCATTTGCCAGATGGGGAGACTGAGGCACAGGGCGGCTAGGGGATCTGTCTGGGTCACGTAGCTGACACACCCTGGGTCTGTGACCAGGCCTGACCGGTAGCCTGGTCCTCACCGTTTTGTGTCCTGGAGTTGGGAGTCGAGACGAATGCAGGAGCGAGACCGTCTAACGGGCTTTCCTTCCTCTCCAGCTCTGCGGCTGTGGGCTGCTTGGCGTGGGCATCTGGCTCTCCGTGTCCCAAGGCAACTTTGCCACCTTCTCCCCCAGCTTCCCCTCGCTGTCCGCGGCCAACCTCATCATCGCCATCGGCACCATCGTCATGGTGACGGGCTTCCTCGGCTGCCTGGGGGCCATCAAGGAAAACAAGTGCCTCCTCCTCAGTGTGAGTTGGACCCCCAATCCCTCACCCTCTGAACTCCGGATCTCCCCGCACTTGCGCCACTGAGACAGGCAAGGCCCGGACTGTCAGCCAACCAGGTGCCCAGTGGAGCCCAGGGAAATTGCTTCTAGAACGTTCTGTACCTGACCACACCCCTCTTCTCAGGATTGCTTACCCTGGCCCCTCGTTGTCTCCCCGCCCCTTGGTTAGTCGTGTGCCTTATCCTCAGCCCGAGCTGTCTGGGTTTCCTCAGGAGGAGGTGGCCCCCGAGACCTGGGGAGCCCTGCTCAGGGGCCAGCTGTCCCTGCTTCCCCGCCACCCTTCCCGTGTGCACCCTGTCCCCCCACCATCACCCTGCCACGTATCCACGCCTGGACCCTTCCTTTCCAGTTCTTCATCGTCCTGTTGATCATCCTCCTAGCAGAGCTGATCTTGCTCATCCTCTTCTTTGTCTACATGGACAAGGTGAGCCTGCGGACCTCGCTGCCCTGGGGGCGGGCCGGGTGGGCAGAGGGAAGTGCCCGCAGGTAGTATTAGCACCTGCCAGGGAAGAGGATGGAGCCAGGAGTTAGGAAGGCCCCAGAGGGAGAACTTGGAACTTGCTGGGAGCAACACGGGGCAGACAAGTTTGGGGGGACGAGGGGCTCATTGCTCTGTGCAGTCTTAGGAGGTGGGGTCCTGTAAGTCACCAGGGATGGCCAGAGGTGGCCTGTGGCTTCAGTGAGCTCCCACCCCTGGGTGTGTTCAAGCCATGTGGAGGAGGGTTCAGACCTCCGCAGGCAGCTGGGCTGAGTGATTCGAGAGCCACCGTTGGAGTTGAGGAGGGGCTTCCCAGCCCCGCGGGGGGAGCAGCACGACAGCGCAGGCAGCCACGCTTGCTCTCCTGGAGCCCTGCTGTGGGCCCGGGCAGCCCCCAGGCTCAGGCTACACCTCAGGCCCAGGAGGATGGCAGGGTGACCCCTATGACCTCACCAGGCGGGACAGTTCGCAGCCAGACTGGGGGGCCTTTCTGTCGGCGCTGCAGAGGGTGGCCGGCCACGCTCAGTCCCTCAGGTGCCGTCAGCGCAGGCCTTGTCAGCGTCCGTCCTGGCTTCTGGCGTGGTCGCCCAGGCCACACTGAAGTTAGAGGCACTGTTAGGAGTAGAAACAGTAGCTCTTTAGTTTGGTGAAAGAGAAGAAACAACAGCATGGAGACGGCTCTTTACTGGCCCTGTTCTTGGCTCTTTGTAAGAATTGTTCCCTTAATTGGCACCACGGCCCCGAGGTGGCTGCTGTGATTTCAGCGTCACAGGTGAAGCGCAGGTGGGAGGGGTTAAGGCGCCTGCTCACGAGGGGTGGACCTAAGGTCGAAATGACCTGTCTGTCCCCTCTCGTTCCCAGGGTGTCTGGAGAGGGGCAGTCTGTGGGGAGGACGTCGTGTGTGTCCTGGGGGGCAAAGTGACCGGTGGGTGTGGCTGGCGCTGGGACGGGGGTCGGAGCTGTGCTGCCTCTGCTGTTGCTCTCGGCGGCGCGCCCGCCCTAGGAGTTCAGCTCTTCTGGGAAGCGGTGGTGGCATTGGGGCCTCTTGAAGGGTGAAGCTGGGAGTGTGAGCTTGTCCCCGCCCCACTCCTGCTGGGCTGCAGAGCCCCAGACCAGCTGCCTCCCCTGCCTTTTCCCTCTGTGTCACCAGGAGGCCCAGGTGGCCTGGGTGGGCTGGGGAGGGGGTTTGCATCCTGGTCCCAACGAACCTGTCGTGTCCCTGGACCTGGCAGGTGAACGAGAACGCCAAGAAGGACCTGACAGAAGGCCTGCGGCTGTACAACACCGAGAACAACGTGGGGCTCAAGAACGCCTGGAACATCATCCAGGCCGAGGTCAGGGTCCGTCGGGTGCTCTGGGCGAGGCTGGGCGGGAGGAGGGGCGGCAGGGCCTGAGTGGGGCACTGTGGATCCTAACGAGGAATAGGGTGGGGGTGGACTGCTGGGTCAGACACAGAAACAGTCGGATAAAGCCGGAGAGGGACGAGGACACAGGAGTGGGCAGGCCTGGGGGAGCTGTGGTGAGTGGCTCAGCTGTGGGACGAGTGACAGGATTTAGTTTAGATCAGCCTCCCTGACTGTGCTTGGCTCAGGCGAGGAGTCTCTCATTCTAGGAGGAAATCAAGTCCCTGCGCCCACATGCCCCAATCTAAGCCCTGCGGAGGGCTCGGCAGGTGGCCAGCCGGCAGCCAGCTTGGGGTGGTCCACAGAGAAAAGGGGGAGGTGCTGGAGAAGAGGACAGGTGCGTGGAGGGCTGAGCTCCTGCCGGGGGTCCAGGCTGCATCAGCCCCTCTGCTCTGGTCTCTAGGGAGGGGCAGTCACTCATGTCCCCCCTAGGGCCTGGCTAAGGGACAAGCAAAGGCACCTGGTTTCCTCCCTGAACTCCAGGGTGGTGGCTTTTGTGGGGCAGGGGGAGGATGGACGGGCTTGCTGGGTCTGACTACCCTCTCCGCCCTGCGGGCAGATGCGCTGCTGTGGCGTTACCGACTACACGGACTGGTACCCGGTGCTGGGGGAGAACACGGTTCCCGACCGCTGCTGCATGGAGAACTCCCAGGGCTGTGGGCGTAACGCCACCACCCCCTTGTGGAGGACGGTGAGGCGGGAGCTGCTTCCTGGGTCTGCTTGTGTGGGGGTGGCCTAGCCAGAGACCTGCGGGAGCGTGGGCGGGAACTGGCCTGATGGGGCATGGGGGTGCGCAGGACTGAAGCCCAGAGGAGGTGGGAAGTGGGGCTGGACCCACTGTTGGGAGAGTCGGAGGGTGCGGGCTTGAGCGGGGCTGTGCAGGCTTTGCAGCGGCACCCGTGGGGGCAGGGCCTGCTTGGGGGGAGGGGCCAGGGCTGCGGTCAGGGGGTCAGGAGGTAAGAGCAAGGAAGGGGTGGGAGGGGCGGGCTGGGCTGGACCCTGACCTGAGGGCCTCGCTCCCCAGGGCTGCTACGAGAAGGTGAAGACGTGGTTCGAGGACAACAAGCACGTACTGGGCACGGTGGGGATGTGCGTCCTTGTCATGCAGGTAGGGGGCGTCCCGAGCCCGGGGCGGGAAAGGAAGCAGGGGACACGCATAGCTGGTTGGGACGTGCGGGGCGGGTGCGACCTGTGTAAGCGCTTTCAGGCTGAGCCCCAGCCTGCCGTCCTCATGCAGAGCGCGGGCACGAGAGCGAGATTCCACCCGGTGCCGACGGTGTGGCCGGGGGCACCTGCCATGGGCTCCCCCAGTTACGCCCTAGCCTTGGGCTGGGAGGGCCATGGAAGGCACACATAGTGTTCCCGTCACCGTCTCTGTGGTTCGTGCACGTGGCACGCCATCTGTAGTGGCTGTGAGGCCACGGCTGGCTTCCTTCTGCCTCCTGCCCTTCCCTGGTCCCCACCCCTTTCGGGATTCAGGAGTGGAGGGGCACAGACAAGTGCTAACTTCGTCCTAAGCACAGCCTCATCGGTGGCCCAAGATGGCACTTCACGTGTTCCAGAACCGACCGGAGCAGCTGGGCATGCGTCTTTAGGGGTCTCTACCACCGTCCTCTCCCCACCTCGGCTCCCGTTGGCTCTCACTTTGGGCATTCGGTGCCCACGGCAGCCCTTGAAGCGGGTGCTAGTGCACCTGGGGGCAGATGGCTTCTGCACAGACAGCCCAGGGGCCCAGCCGGAGTTCACCTGTGCACCGCCCGAGCGGGGTCGCCAGGGTGACCTCTGTTCACCGCTGTCTTCGTGCCTTTTCCCAGCACACCAGTGGTTACATCCGCCTGCTGGAGGCGCCCTGTGACATCCCGGGACTTGCAGGGCCGAGGTCAGACCCAGGTTGCTGGAGCTTCCGTCCAAGGCCCTCCCCCCGCCATGTCTTTCAGATCCTGGGCATGGCGTTCTCCATGACCCTCTTCCAGCACATCCACCGGACGGGGAAAAAGTACGACGCGTGAGCGCGCCGACCGGAGGGCCCTGTCCCACCCGGACGCTCCGTGGAAGGAAGAGGATTTGAGCTTCCTGTCACCTGCACTCTGCAGACTGTGCCCCTGCACCCACCCACCCGGCCGGCCCTTCCCCACCAGCGGCCTCAGCCTCAGACTCTGGGTGGGTGGAGGGCCAGGGAGGCGGCGCCCTCGGAGACCTGGGCCAGGGCGCCGCGTTCCTGCACCTGCACCTGTGCATTTGCCAAAGACGACGGGGTGGGCTGGGGACGCGCTCGGGAGGAGCCCCCAGCACTGACGGGTTTCTGCCCCCGCCCTTCCTCACACTGACGTTTGTCCCTGCGTGGGGTGGGGCCCGGTGGAGAGACCGCCCCGGTGGGGGCCGCTGCCGTCCACGGCCACCGTGGGAGAGTTGGCGGGGCGGGGTCTGACCGCCTTCAAGCGGGGCCCCTGGAGCATCGCGCCAGGCTTTTTATACCTTACAGTGTAGCTTTTTTATTTTATTTTACTCTGACTTTGATTATTCAGGAATATTATCTCAGATAAGTTTAGGGTTAGCTTTCTGATTTATAACTTTTTACTGTGTTGATTTCTTTAATGGTTTGCTTTTTTCCCCGAGGGTGGGGGACGGGTGGGAAGAGAGGACAGCTGTGTGTGACACTGGGAGGCTCTCACCCAGACGCACTGAGGGGGAGGGAGCCGGGGTGGACAGGAGCCCTGAAGAGGCAAGATGAGCACAGCCGCGTGGAGAGCGGCCTGCACGGCGCTGGTGTGCAGGGGTGTCCTCCGGGGCTGGCGAAGCACCTTGCCAGGAACGCGGCCAGAGCTGGCAGGGTCCTTATGCCTTTTGCTGCCGGGCAGTTGCTGGTGTTCTTCCTCCTTCCTTCCTCCTGCCCTCTGCTGTGTGGCAGGCTGCCCTCCACCCCATGCGGGCGTTCCTGCAACAGGCTCTGCACACCCAGTTACTCTCCAGACATTCCTGCTCCACACTCTCAGACAAATACCTCTCTAGTTCGGATGCTGCTCACTTCTCCCTCGCTTCTGGAAGGGGACGCAGGCCTGGTGTTTCGCTGCCCAGGCAGCAGCAGAGGACCCGCGGCCATCGGCACGGGGAGGTGGAACTGGCGCCCACCGTCTCCCCGCCGCTCACTCGGCCGCTGGCCGCCCTGCTGGGAGTGGGGGATGGTGTCCATCTAGGTCCCAGGACCCTCCTCTCCTTCCCTGGGTTCACTGACGTCAGCAGCGGGTGGGTGGCCATCACATCCTGCACGATCCCAGAGAACTACAGAGAACCCAAGAGAGGGCAAGCTGGCTGTTGTCACGTCACGGCGGTCCAGGAGGAAGTCAGGGTGTGTGCAGACTGGGCGTGTGGGATGAGCAGCAGGACACCCCCGCCCAGCGACGCTGCCCAGCTTAAGGTTGTGCAGTTAGGAAGCGTCCAGACTGTGGGACTGAGCGTGCCCAAGGTCCCCGCTCGCTAGCAGGGCCCAGCGCCCTCTGCTGGAGGGGGCCTCGTGTGGCAGCTGCCTTTCTCCCTGCACCTTTCGGCTTCCCACTGGGCCCAGGTCTCGCTCCAACCTCACCTGCCTGTCCCAAGAGCTGAGGCACAGCCACCCAGCCAGCCAGTGACTCCTCCATCCACCTTAAGTAACATACAGATCGGGACCAGGAGGATAGGACTTGGGTGTGTTCGGGGTTCGTGTTTTGGGGGTGGCGGTGGAGAGCAGGGTAGGCCGAGAGAAGACTGCGTCCCCAGGACAGGAGTAGGGGTGCTGATGGAAGCCTGGGGCAGGTCCTGGGTGGACACGGGGTAGATGCTCATTTGGATGAAACTGCCCTTCCCTCCTGCTCTGGCCCATCTTCCTGTTAAGGAGCTTCAGCTGCCTCCCTGGGAACCCCAAAATGCAGATTCCGGGGCAAACAGGCCACTGCAGAGAGACGCTCAGCAAACGAGTGTTTGAGTCGCACAGTGGGTCCTGATGCATAATGCGTTTTGCCGTGGGTGGGCTGGGTGGGTTTGTGTATGCCTATCAATGCAATTTTTAATTTTTGTTACTGTCAACAGCAAAAGCCTAGTGCATTTGGAGGTGGGTGGCCTCCCTGGCAATCTTGTTTCTGGAGTGCTTTGGGGTGTCCTCTGGCTCCAGAGCCTTTGCCACAGTTCCCCGCCTGCCCCAGCCCCCGCCTCACCCGTCTGTTTGCAGAGCCTTGCCCACAGCTCCCAGAACTGCCTTCTCACCTCGCCCTGTGCTTGGCTGTTGGTCATTTGGCCAAGTCTGTGGTGGGCGGAAGTCCCCGTGCACAGGGTGGGTGTTCTTCCAAGCCCCTGGCCCATCCTGCCGACGGGTCCCCAGCTACGCAGAGGGCCATACCCGGTGACACCAGTGAAGGTGGCTCAGCATCTTCCCGGCTTCTCCTGACCGTGATCTCAGTGGAACAGAATTCCACTGGGGGAACCTCCTCCCTCATGGCTTCCCTTGCCAAAGCCGGGGTGTGTTCGATCAGGTCTGACGCAGGCGGTTTGGAGACTTTCACGGAAATTCCCTGAGGGTTTGCAGACGACTTCAGGGGAACGTGAGATACAGACTCAGCCTTTCTCTGGGGCCATCCCCAGCAGCAGGGGTGAGCAGGCAGGAGCTGAGAGCTGCCCTCAGGAGGCCGGCAGCAGGTGTCAGGATGCAAGTCTCCCCCTGCTCCCCATGCACTTGAGCTGGGGCCCTCCCCCCTGCCTGCACCCTGGGCTCCTGCAGGGGCTGCCGACCCCACCCCGACACTCTCGTGGATGTTCTGGTTTGACTTGGAACTAGGTGCCATCCCTCCAGGCTGGCGTGGAAGTCCAGGTGGGTGGCCATCCAGGTGGGTGGAAGTGACAGTCCCCTCCTCTCTAGCCCCCTGCCCACCCGCAGGTGGAGGTGCTAACTAGCAGGGACAAGGCACAGGACGGGAGCTGGGTGCCAGGTGCTTGGGGTCCATTCTTGTCCCTCAGCTCCTCAGAGTCCGGCCGGCCCCTGTGTGTCCCCGTCCCACCCCCCGTCCCCACCACAGTGAGGCAGCAGTCCAGGGTGGGTCCCGGCCTCCCTGCCCGCCTGCCCCGGGCAGCACGGGAGAGCAGGGAGCACATGCTTGTTGGTTTCAGACGCACTTTTCTGCTTGCGATGCCGTATCTGTGCGTTTTCTTCATCCTGGTCCTGGCTTTATGGAACACCATGTTTTTAGCATGTTTTTAAATAAAAACTGAGATCATGTCAAAAGCACAAGCAGGCTGTCTGGTGTGTTTCGTTCGCTCAGCCACGACTATGACTTATTTCATGTAGCAGTTGGTGAGAGGGACATGGGGGGTCGGACACCGGTCCTACCTTTTGTCCAGGACACACCCCGACAGCCGGGGCTTCGTCTCCCTTCTAGGGCCCAGGTTCCAGGTCTGCTGGGGCTGGGAGAGTCCCAGTCCTCTCTGTGGCAGCCCGGTGACTTGCTGCAGGCCTGACTGGGGTCGGCCCCGCACGAGCCCGCTGCGTGAGAGGCCGGCGCTCCAGCTCGGTGTCGTCTCCTGTCCCAGATGGGCCTGGCCCCTAAGAGCATGGTGGAGGGGAGTAAGTCATCAACAGCCTCCGGTAGGGCTGGGGCTGTTGGCTTCAGGTGCGGACTCTTCCCAATCCCTCTGATGTTCCTGGGGTTCACTGGAGCCTGCTGTCTCTTCTAGGAGTGAGGAGCCTTCCCAGTGTGGCTCGGCCCCCTCAGGGTGACTCTGAGACAGCCCAAGGAAGGGACGGAGTCAGTATGAGGATGGTCAGCAGGGAGGGGCCCAGTTAGAACTTCGTGGGCGGGCAGAACTGCCAGCGAGCTGCCGACCATGCTGCCTCACTGCAGAAGGTCCCCGCTGCCTTGCTTGGGCTCTGCTCTGTGGGTTTTCCTTGCTTGTCACAGTCACAGTGACAAGTTGCAGATGAGAGAAGCTTACCGTGTGTCTTTGTCCTGGGCCAGTGACGTGCCACATGTCCCCAGCATGTGGCAGGAGGCAGGGGTGAGGCAGTTGGAGCTGGGGCACCTCTGAAGTCCCCTGCGTGTGCCGGTCTGTCCCCCACCCTCCACGAGGGAGTGGCCAGGTCCACACGGAATTGCCCCAAAGCGTCGACTTTCGGGGCCCCGTCTGCAGCTGCTGTGTCCCACAGCCGCCAGAGACCGTGCCTGAGTCTGGGACGACCCGCTGTCAAAGGTCCAGCCAGAATGGGGTCCCCGAGAGCCTCTGCGGGAGACTTACTGAGACAGACTTGGGGGCTGTAGGGTCAGGATTGGTCCTGGCTGAGGGGCAGGTGTGCCCCTCCTATCACCTGCAGAGGACCCACTGAGTCACAGGACTGTGGGTGGAAGCCCCTCGTCTCTGCCTGTTCTTGCTCTGGCTCCTGCCCCCTGGGCCTGTGGACACGCCTGCTAGGATGCCACTGGGTCGGCGTGCTGTCTGCTTGTGGCTCCCAGGACAAGGGAAGGCACTGGCCGCTCTCTCAGCCCTGGCCCTGGTCACACGAGCCACACTGTGGATGCAGCCGCCCTGGCTGCCCAGGGGGTGATGTTCCCGTCAGGACGGGCGCTGAGCATCTTTTTCCCTGGGACTTGGGATAAGTAGGCTAGTGCCTTCTGGGGTGGGTTCTGGGCTCTTCGGTCCATGGGAGGGAGTGGCCGAGATGACTCTGGGGGCCCTTTGCGCCCCCGTTCTTGTGTGATGTGGTGGGAGAACTGCCCCCCCATCGGTTCTCAGCAAAGGGCAAGTGAGAAAGGCTGGTCCATGAGCCGCAGCAGAGCAGGCGTGGCACCCCACGAGGACCTGCCAGCCTCGCTGTGGCCAGCGCTGGTGCCTGCACAGACCAGAGGTCTGCTCACTCAGAAGCTTACTGGGTACTCATCGTGCCAAGTATCTAGACAATAGTCGTGGAGGACACAGACCCAGTCCCTGCCTTCGTGGAGACAGCTATCTGGTGGGGACCCCAGAAGACCGAATGTGGTCCCTAAGCTGGTGCTAGGTGGCCGTGAGGGAGAGGCACTGGCCGAGCTTGGGGACGGTGAGGCCCTCCAGGGGAGGCGATGATGAAGCTAAGAGCTGACAACGGGGCGCCAGTTAACCTGGCAAGGAGTGGAAGGAAGCGTGTCCTGTGGGTGGATGTCGTCCACAGGGCTGGGGCCCAGAGGGTGAAGGGGGAGTGTCTGGAGAGCGTGGCCACTGCCAGGTCACAACCCTGACAACCAGGTCAAAGAGCCTGAACTTTACCCTCAGAGCGATGGGAGCCGCAGAAAGGCTTCTTTAAGCCCAAGTATGACGGCCTCTAGAAAGGCGGCGTGGCTGCCAGTGTGGACGGCGGTCAGGGGGACACGGATGGCTGCGGGAGATTGAGCACGGGTACGGCAGTGATTTAGGTGGGGCGACAGCTGCAGGGAAGTGGTGGTGGGGTGGGGACAAAGCTGACGGGTTCGAGAGACATGCAGGAGAACCGATGAGGCTTGGTGGTTAATTAATTTGTTGAGGGTGAGAGGAAGGAGCATTCTTGCCATTCGGCCGGCATGACACCCTCGCCCTGGACAGGTAGGTGACTGACTGCTGCACTAAATGGATGGACAAATGTGTTTCTGGGCTCAGTGCTTCTGTGCGGGAGACGGCAGAGGCCAGCGTGATGTAATTAAATCTCTGTTTGTACTGAGCTTCACAGCTTGCGAAACGCGTTCATAAACATTGCCTAGGTTCCTCCTGACCGCAGCCGTCTTACCAGCTGTCACCGTGCCTGAATGTTCGCCACTAGAGACGTATCACGGAGTGGATGGAAAGAGTGCTGGTTTGGGAGTTGGAGGGCTTGGATTAAATTCCCACTCTGCATTTGGTGTCCGTGTGAGCCTCGGGCACATGGGACCCGTCTTGGTATTGTCATCTGCGCAACAAGGATAGTGCCTATCTTACAGATTTGCTGTGGGATTAAATAAAAGCAAAGGCATCCAGCTTGCTCCCGGGCCAGGACAGGTGCTTGGCAAGAAATTGGTCGAACCTGGATCCCCAAATTAAAGGCAAGACCCCAAGGAAAAGGGACAGAGGAGAGTGATCTGGGCAGGGCAGTTGGTGTCCGAGGAGCTCAGTGCACAGGGGACCCCGTGTCTCTGTGTCCCTCTGGGCTGCCTCAGCAGCGCCATTCAATAACCCACAGAAGCGAGAGTAAAGCTGTATTAAATAAATGTCATTTGGACGCAACAATATTGGCATTGCGATGGTCCCTTCTTAACACATTCAGCAGAGATTGGGAGGCTATTGATTTAGCCGTCTCGTTTTTGCTGAGTTTAACGACTGCTCTTGCAGCTCTGGTCTCCTTAAGCCAACAAAAAGAATTACAACACCCCACAGGGCAGCCCGAGCCGAGCTCTCCCGATTGAAGCTGCCCACTCGAACTTCCCCTTTGTGGCCCCGGAGACTCCAGGTGGCTGAGAGCTGGCTGGGGCAGGCCTGGGCACTGCCCTGTGTCCCTGGGTGCCCCGAGTGTAGAGGAGACAGCTGAACTGGTAGAAGATGGGTCTGTGGACAGTCTGGCACCTGTCACCTGGAGAGTCTTCTTCTGGTTATGGAGTTCTGGAAATGAGCCTAGCCCAATGTCCAGAGCAGGCCGGTCCCGCGTGCGGGCAAGGCGAGCTGCAGCCCGTGTTCCATAATTTCGTGATGTCAGGAATCTCCTGGGCTTTGCCTCCCTCGCCCCGCCACACCTCTTCCCCAGGGGATCTGGAAGACCAGTGCAGACAGCCCTCAATGCCTCATGCGCCCACTTAACAATTCTTCCACTCTGATGGCGCAAAAGGGATACTACGCATTCGGTAAGCCATGCTTTGCCCGTACAACCATTCTGGTCTTCACTTTCAGTACAGTATTCAATAAGTTACATGAGACAGTCAACACTTTGTTAAGAAATATGCTTTGTGTTGGATGATTTTGTCCAACTGTAGGCTAATGTGAGCATTCTGAGCACGTTTAGGGCAGGCTAGGCTGGGCCATGAGGTTTGGTAGGTGAGGTGTATTAAATTTTCGACTTCATGTTTCAACTTATGACGTGTTTATGGGGATGCAGCCCCGTCAAGTAGAGGAGCGTCTGTATATTCTCATACATTTCCTTCTCTTGTGTGAGGACCCACTTCCGGAGGAGTCAGCCTTCTTCACCTATTGGCAATGCAGGGAGAACACGTTGGATGTGATCTCCGCTTCCCCACTTGGGGTTCTCTAGACTAGAATTAGGGATGTGTGAGCCACTCTCAATATTTTTTAAGTCCGGTGGATGTTGTTCCTCACCCCTGTCATGGGAACATTAAACCTCTTGGCTCTGGCTGGCTTTCTGTCCCTAGCGCAGTGACACTGTCTTTGTGTCTTGCCGTGGAAAGGGCTGGGTTCCAGCTTCACTCCTTCCCTCCTCTGCCCTGGGCTATGCAAAGGCTCCCACCGGGTGCTCTGGCAGGGTCCTCTCCCTCCTGCCCGTCACAGCCAGATAGGGTTTCACTGTAGGGGGGAAAGGGAGCAGGGCTTCCTTTAGTGTTTGCTTTTAAGAAGAAAATAAGGCCAGATGCAGTGGCGCGAGCCTATGGTCCCAGCACTTTGGGAGGCTGAGGCAGGAGGACCGCTTGAGCCCAGGAGTCTGAGGTTGCACTATGATGATGCCACTGCACTCCAGCCAGGGTGACAGAGCAAGACCCTGTCTCAAAAACAAAAAACCAAAGCAAAAAAAGAAGAAAATAGGGGCTCTTGGCCCTGCATCCTCCCCTTCCCCTGGCAGCCTCTCTCTCTTCAGTTGTGGAGAGAGAGTGAGAACCAGGGTCCCTAGCTTGGAGTGGCCCACCCTGAGGCAGTAGTGACAGCCCAGCCGTCAGGGCTGACATGAGGCGCTGGCACCTGCTGGGAAGCAGTGGCAGCTGACAGGCCAGCCAGCATTCACCGGGGGACAGCTTTAGCGACAGCTCCGCGCTGCCTGCCGGGCTGACAAGGCCCTTGTCGGCTGCTGGCTAGTTAGAAGCAGCCGCAAACCACCAAGGGCGCTGCCTGTTTGCAGCAGGGAAGGGCCTGGAGTGGCACTTGTCCCTCCTTGGTGCGTTTGTGCGCTTGTGAGTGCAAACGTACACGCACATACACATACAGCGATGGTGCAGGTGAGTGGACATCCCGCTCCGATGGGACATAGGACCGTGAACGTGCCCTACACTGGACCTGTTCCCCCGTCTAACATCCAAAGAGCAGAGGGCCGCGGCTGTGACTCTGCAGTGAACGACTGAACCTCATCAAAGGGGCCACAGAGAGGCAAGAGAGCCGGGCAGGGGCCGGCAGGCTCCCCTGCAAAGTGGGTGCCCGGCTGGGGACTTCCTCAGGTGACCAGTCTGCTCACACAGCAGGTCTCTGGGTTCGCACCAGGTGTGATTCAGTTCTCTGCTGCCTCCCAGACCGCCCCTGTCCCGTCCTGGAGTCCCCTCGAGCCCAGCTTACCCAGCTAGTCTGCAGGCTCCCGCCCCAGCTCCAGCAAGTGTTCTAGACAGAACAGTGAACTAAAGAGAACGAGAGTTTTCTGTCATAAAAGACAAAATATGTCTAACACTTCCCTTTAGCTCTGCGCCGGCGACCTGGTGCCTTCGGCAGGTTCGTCTTTTTGCACTGAGATGAAAAGTGTCCGGATGAGAAGAAACTAGCTGGCCCAAGGTGGAGAGACCTCTCACTCTGGAGTGGGATGGTCTGGGGGTCCAGGTAGCAGCTCAGCCAGAGGGGCCCCTTGCTCCCGCCCCTGCTGCAGCGCTGTGGAGGGCGCGGCGGCGAGAACATGCCGCAGGTCCGTCAACAGAGGCCGTCTGCGAGTCATGGCAAACGTGCGAAAGCACCGGCTGACCGAGGCAGACCGCTGCAGGAGGAAGACGGTTCAAGCGCGCGTGTTTGAGCCTGGCTCCTGCTTGCTGCCAGGAGCTAATGACACCCGTGAGAAGGAGAGAGAGGTCACTTCAAACACATAAATGATGAGCACTGAGAAAAGAACAGCGAGCAGGCCCCTGATCTACGTGGTCAGTGGGTCTGCTCGCAGGAGAGCCAGGACTGACACAGTGGCCTCAGGCTGTAGCCGGGGGTCGCAACACATTTGGTGAATTGTAGACTGGGGACCTCCTGGCAAGAAAAAAAACTCAACAGAAGGTTGTCGTAGGAGCAGTTTCTTTATTGTCATGTTCCTGCACGTCAGGCTGGCCTTGCACGAGGTCGGCTAAGGAGGGGGGCGTGATTACTACGAGAGCAATTTCTCCACACGCAGTGGGTTAAGGCGTCGTCTCCGTGTCTAGGATATTGTGATGCCCACGTGCAAGGGCCGGATGGTTCCAGAGCCCACGTGGCCCCACTAACATTGGGCTGCCTGGAAGGACGGGTGGCCTTGCGCGGTGGGGAGCGGGCGCGGAGGCACGGGGCACAGGGCTGGGAGCCGCACTGCGACAGGCAGAGGGGCAGCCAGATGCAGGGCTCTCCCAGGCACGCAGACGGGGTGGGAAAGGGGGGCTGGGGTGTGTAATGTGTCGGCTTCCAGGAGGGGCCCAGGCACCCGGTCTCCTGGCCAAGGCCACAGGCCACCAGGGCAGGGCGGGTGCTTCCTGGCTGGCTGTGAACTGACATGGTGGCATGCGTCGCCCCTCACAGTGGACGGGTGGGGACGGGCTCGGGCTGCGGCGGGTGGAACTCCGCTGGATGACCTGAGGGCCTTTTGATCCCCGAGGGTGGTGGCACATAAAGGAAGGTGGCAGTGCCCTTTGTCGTGTGGTCTGAAGCAGTGGTTCTCCAAGCGTGGTTCCCGTGCCAGCAAATGGAACTTGCTAGCAATTCGAATTATCGCGTTATTGGCTCTGCCTCTCCTGATTAGAAGCTCTGGGGGGTGGGGCAACCTGTTTCGAGAAGCCCCCAGGTCATTCTGATGCTCACTCAAGTTTGAGAACCACTGGTTTAGACACTCGGCCTCCACGTCCTTGGGGATGTGAGTGCCACCCAGCGGGGACGCGGAAGACCGACTTTCCCCGGAGGCAGTCAAGCCCCTTCCCCTCCGCAGGCCCAGGGTGGCCAGTGACGACAGCAACCGTCCCAGTTCCATTTTCACTCCCCCGACTCAAAACTCCGAAGTGGGGCCTAGAGTGGCAGAAGGGCGGGAGGGTCCTGGGGCACACGACGGTGACCTGCCTTCCCCCCGGGGTGCCCTCCCTGCCCAGCGTGGCTCTGGGAGCCCGTGTGACCTGCGGATTTTCAACCCCCAGACGGGGCGTGAGATTCCACACCCCGTGGGAAGGCTCCGAGAGCTGGGGGCAGTCCCTGCTCTCACTCTGGGCTCAGCGTTGTCCCCTCAGCCTCCCGCCTGCTGCCCAGCCCCCCACCAGGAGGCCCGGCTGGCAGCCTGAGGTGAGCCGGCCTTCTGCGCCAGTGGCACACGCGCAGGGCAGCTGGCGCCGGGCCGGGACGCGGGGTCCTGTCGGACCTGGGAGGGGCGCTGAGGCTGCTGCTATGTGGCAAGGCCCCCCAGGGACGCTCTTCCTGAATGTCAGCCCGACAGCTCATTACAGAGGAGGATGCCGAGGGAAGCTGAGCAGAGGGGCCCCCGCCCCTGGCTGGGGTTGCAAGACAACAGCCATCACTGCCGACTGGCAGTGTCTTAACTTGGCTGAGCCTGAACTTGCTCATCTGTGAGATGGGAGAAACACCCTCTTATTGGGGTAGTGCAAGATAGCGTATTTACGGTGACCGACGCATTCTCGGTACGTAGCAGGCCCTCAGTAAACACAAGTGACCCCCTGGACACCCCTTCCCTGGCCATGCCTGCGGGGCTCCTGGGGCCGGGGCACTGCCAGGCGGGGGTGGGGGGAGAGAAGAACGAGCACACACATTTCATCCCTAAGGCCCAGCTTCACTCCTGCCTCTCCCCCAACACACGTGGTCCAGGGCACTCGGGGACGTGCCGTTCTCTCCGTGTCTGTGCCTGCGGCTAGGGAAGGCCGCTGTGCTGTGTTCAGGGGGAGACGTGCCGGCCACAGCCCTGTGGATCCCGGCACCTGACGCTTCTTTCCCAAGCCGCGGTGCGCAAGGCCTTTTGCCCACACAGGACCGAAGGTGACTGTCCACGGGCACGTCCTTCTCTCTCTCCCAAGGAACTCAAGACTGTGACAGCCTCCAAGCAGGGACCTGGGAGGCACCGTCCAGGCACAGAGCTCGGGGCGCTGCTCTGGAGCCCGCCTCTGTGTGCTCCCGGGCAGAACTGCTCTGTTCTCGGCCTCCCTTGCCTCTATCCCTGACTCATCTCCGGGCTGTTGGCATGAACAAGGAGGCCGTATTTCCAAGAAGTTTTGGGCTCTTCTACCACTTTCTGCAGCTTGGACCGCCCATCCCCCCAGTGGCAGCCTGGGAGGGATGACAGCAAGGGCAGGAACCACAGCTGATCCCGCCCCTGGCCAGGCTGGCCCGACCCACACATGGGGCCAGGGCAGACGGCTCAGGTTCTCCTGGGCCTGCCCTCAGTGACAAGGCTACACACTGGGCACCTGCCTGTCACCGCAGACAGGTAAGGTCACAGCATCCCCTGCCCATGCCGCTCCCCCGGTGCCTGGCGGGAAGAACAGTGGTAGCCCAGCACCCCCTCCCCTTCCCAGCCCTCACCTGTAAGACTTGAAGAGCTGGGGAGGACAGTCAGGGCTATGTTGGTGACAGCAGTGAGTGACCTTCAGGTCACTCCTGTGTATGGGAGAGAACACCCCTCCCCCAGGACCACCCCAGGGGGTCAGATGGGGAGGCATGGCATGCTCTCTCGGCCTCAGCATGCAAAGGTGCCGCCCCTCCCTGTGGGGGAAGTAAGAGGGTCCCCTCTGGGGGCAGTGCGGGACCTGGGAGGCGCGGAGGCGGGCGTGGGGCTCTTGTGTTACGAGCTGCCCACTTGTAACGGCCACTCTGGGGGGAGGTTCCCGTGGTTGTCATAAGAGTTGATACGCATTCTTCAGAAAACGGCGGGCATGTATACCTGTATTTCCTAGGGTTTTCTCTGTTATCCCTTAGTACCTGGGAAAGTCCTTCCTGAAAATTCCTTGCCTAATTCAGTGACACAAGAGAGAACCAAAGGAAGGGACTGTGTCCACTCTGGGACGGGTGGCAAGGGAAGCAGAGGGCGACCCCCGGGAAGCAACACGGTGGTGGCCTCGTGGTCGGGGGAGAGGGCCCCAGGAACAGTGAAGCTCAGGCAGAGCACCCTCTACTCAGAGCTTCCGCTTCTCAGCACTCCCTCTCTGCAGGGCCTGTGATTTTGTCCCCTAGGGGAGAAGGTTCACATCCACCAATATTAAGAGCTGAAGAGGGTTTTAAAACCTGGCATTCCTGAAAATCAGCCCCAGAACGAGAGGTCCCTGAGGGGCATATTACTAGCGGCTGGGGCCTGGGCCCGTGGCCTCCCAGAGGGGTTTCTCCTGGGAAGGCGGCCATCTTGTCCCCCAACCCCTTCTCCCTGCCCTGGCAGCCCCATCCAGCCTATGGCGGCCCTACCTGGGGCCTCCCCACTCCCAGGCCCTGCAGGACTCCACTTCCCAGGTGAGGCAGTGTGGGGAGGGGGCAGGTCACAGGGCTGGGTAGGTCTCTGGGGGAAGAGCCAGTCCCACCTGCCCCAGCTCACACCCTTCCGGGGTGGGGGGGGGAGCAAGCTGAGGCTTCTGAGCGCCACTAGGGGACTCAAATGCGGAATGCAGGGGCCCAGAGGGACCCAGGTGTGCAGCCCGTTGTTCCAGGTTCAGGAGCTGGGAGGCAGCAGAGAGCCCAGTTCTCTCCCTCCTGGAGCCCATGGGCGCCCCATGCCTGGTGAGGGCCTCTGGCTGTCCCGTGGCAGGATCACTCCCCTGCCCAGGGTCCAGCGGGAGGGCTCAGAAATGGAGGTGGGGGCGAGGGCCCCTGCGTGGGGGAGCAGCAGGAGCTGTGGTCTCAGGCACTTGGTGGATTTGCGGGGACAGGGCACAGAGGAGGGGAGCCCGTGGCCCTAGTCGAGCTGGTACTAACTCTGCAGTCCTGGCAGAGGGGATGTGGGCACCTGTCCTCGCAAGGGGCCGTCGGGAGGGTTCGCCATTAGTAAAAATACCGCTGGAGCCTCCGGTGCAGGCAGCAGGTGAGCACCATCCCGCAGATCTGCCAGGTGGAGAGAGCAGAGGAGCAAAGAGAAGTCAGGACCCCCTGAGCTGCCGCCACGCTGGCATGCACAAGCCACCCCCTGCGGCTGGGCAAAGGGCCGTGCCCAGAGGCTGGGGTGGGCCCTGACAGCTCACCTTTCTGACCAGCTCCTGGGGGAGGCTGCTGTGCGGGGACCACACCAAGTGCTACTACCCGAGAGCAGTGTCTCTCACACGTTAATGGGCACAGATCACCTGGGAACCTCATAATACGGCAGGCTGCAACTCCGCAGGCCTGGGGGGCCTGAGAGTCTGCATTCCCAGCAAACTCCCGGGCCAGGCTGCTGGTCTGGCCTAATTTAATTAGATCCCGAGCGGTAATATTTCCACTCCGTCACCAGAGCCGTCTGCAGCAGTCCTTTGCTCTAGGAAAGAGCCCAAGGCAAGCCCAGGTTTGGGAAAATCACCCTCGTCTCGCTGTTCCCATTTCCAAAAAGGTAGGGGCCTGTATTCTCCCACCTTGCTCTTCGTGGGCCCTCCTCTGCCTTCCTCCTCCTCTTTCTCTCCTTCCTCCCGCCCAAGGACACGTCGAGGGCAGGAGGCCCATGACTGTCATCACGACCCTAACGATGACGACGACATGTCGTTGCATCTCAATTCTGTCTACAGGAGAGGGGCTCTGGGATAGGGCAGCCCCGTGACTGTCCGTGGCACCGGGGGTGAAGGCGGGTTTCCCTAAGTGCAGGAAGCTTTTCCCGTAGGTGCTGCAGACCTGACCTGGCCGGTGCAAATCCGGACGCACACGGAGCTCTACCCAATGGGAGGACAGGCTGGTGGCGATGCCCGTGGGCTGCTACCCGCCTTGTCTTTCTCTGCAGGGCCAGCTGAAGGAGGCAGCAGAGGAGCAGCCCGTCTTCTTCCCTCCTCCCTCCTCTCCCTCCCGCCCAAGCTGGAGGACCGTGGGGAGCATGGGCACTGCTTTCGGCGTGCCGACTGGGTGCTACGAGCAGTGTAATATGTCTTGGGGCCTCAGGGGCACAAGCTGATAGGTGGCTTAGAAGGTTATCTGTCTCCCATTAGCTGTGAGCAGGTGGCTGTCACAACCATCCGCCCCTGCAGGTGCCGTGCCCTCTTCCTTGTCCCCACCTCATGGCTCGTTCATTCTCCTGTGGGCCTATATGGATCTTTCTGATCCGTGCTAAGGGGAAAGCTAGAAGGGAGATGCTGGACCAGTATGGACTGGTCCGTAGACTCTGTCCACATCTCCTGTGGTGTACTACTCATGCCGGGGGAGGGCTGGAGGCTCCTCAGGGGACGCGCTTTTGCATGACGTGTGTGTTCCCAGGTGCCTCCTGGGAGAGGCACAGTACAGGTGGAGGGTGTGGGCCATATGTGCACACGTACACATGCACACACACATGCACAAATTGCACCAGAATCATGCGGAGGGGTAAAGGATGCCCTCATCAACGTGTGTACACACACACCCACCCTGAGTCATGTGGAGGGTAAAGGCTGCTAACCCACCAGGTCCCTGAGTAAGCGCTGGCATCTCCCTCCTGACAGAGGACACCGAGAAACCAGAACGGATGGCTCCAAGCAGCCAGCAGGGGGTGAGCAGAGACAACACAGGACGAGTTAGCTGCAGGAGCTGGAGACGAGAGATAGGACTGGATGGGCTCTGGGCCCAGCCCGCTTGGTGCTTTCTGCTTGTAGCTGCCTGGGCATAGCACTTGGCCATACATGGGACATTTTTAACGGAGGCCGTCATGCATTCAGCTTCTTATGAGGTTTCTAAGTCAGCACCTCATTGTCATCAGGGAGCGTGAAGGAAGCTCCAGGGAGGTTGTTTCAAAACGATTGTTTGGTTTCCCTTTTAGTGACTTGCAGATCCCAATCTTGACCAGCTTGTGAGTTTTCTGTGCTCTAAACCATGTTTCCACTGTACGATGGGAGAATGTAGGGATGGTGGTGGGTTAGGTTCTCTTTGGGGCTTGCACCAACAGGCTGTGTGACCTTGCGTACAGTTATAGCCCTCTCTGAACCTCAAATCCCTCTCCATCAATAGGAAAGCCTCCAAGTCTACACACTGGTCCAGGGCCTTCCCTGGGGGAGATTCTTTAAAAGCTAGAATGACAGAGACCAACAGCACAGCACCTAGCCCCTCCAGCACCCTGAGCCCTTGAGGGGCCTGGCAGTGGCTCCCCAGGGCCCTCAGGGTAGAAACCCCCACTCTCTGTCCACTGGCCAGCACTTTGCACATGCTGTTCCCTCACCCTGGCTCTTTTCCCCCTCTTGTCACTTCCTGTCAAGCTCCTTCAGGGCTTGATTACATATCACTTCCACCAGGAAGCCTTCCCTCACGTTGTCTGATTGGTCAAGGCCTCCAATGCTTGCTCCCCAAACCCCGGGGCGCACACTAACACAGCACCTGGGACTGGACGGCTACAGCCCATGTACTTGTCCGTCCCCTTCCCTCAAGCAAATGCTCCTTGGGAGAAGGGACGGCACCCTGGCTGCGGCGGGGCCGCGGCACTGGTCACAGCACCTGGCTTGCCGCGACTCTGCGGCAACGCGGACGCAGCGCGTGCCCCTCAGCCTCCTCTGTGGGTGCCCTGGGTGCAGGCTCCCAGGGCGCTGCATGTAAGGAGGGCCGCAGGAAAAGGGAGCTGGGCCACTGTGACATTTTTAGTAAAACATTGCCCAGCCAGAATATTCTAGAAATTAGCTTCTAAAGTTCCCTCAAAGTGGAGTGCCTCCAGAGTCCCCCCACAAGAGCAGAAGCTGGTGCAGAGCAAAGAGACCCGTGAGTTGGGGTCCTGGGCAGCCTGCCAGTGGCGGCGTGTCCGTTCCAGCAGGGCTTGGTGTCCTTAGATGTGCATGAGTAAGACGGGCTGATCCCAACATGCAGCTGGGCCGACAGCACGGGGCCTTCCACGTGTACGAGTCTATGATCTCGGGGTACCTCGTCCCTCAGGACTCTGCTGATCCTGTCCAGGTCTGAAACTGCCTCCAGTGTCATGAGTGGGGGAGCCCGTGGGGCCCCCGCTGAAAGAACAGGAGCACCCCCAGAATGCAGGACCTCAGCGTGGAGGGGCCTCCCTTCTGCATCCCTGCCAGCCCCCAACCTCTGCCCCAACCTGCAGCTGCAGAGAGCTGAGCCCCTCTGCAAGGACCACTGCTTAACAGTTCTAATGTCGAAAAGTTCTCGAACCTGTCTCCTTGTAAATCCCACCTGCTGCTCCTGTTGTGTCCTCTGGAACCTCTCAGGAAAAGTCCCCTCCCTGCCCCACATGACTGCCTGGGCGTTCCAAGATGGTGAGGGCGCCGTCTTCCCCCATCTCCTGACCCCTCCCATTCGACCTCCAGGCCCCACGTGCTCCTTGCCACGCCCTCTGCCTCAGCCACGCCCTCTTCCTGGGCCACGCCCTCTGCCTCGGCCACGCCCTCTGCCTCGGCAGCACCTCGGAATCTCCTGGGCTTTGCACGAACACTGGTGTCTGGGTGATGTAACTGTTGGGGGCGTGCGGCCTGGGCCTGGGGCAGTTTCGAGGCTCACCAGGGGGTCCCAATGTGCAGCCAAGGTTGAGGACCACTGCCCTGGAGGCTCTGTGGAGGTCTGGACCACCCGGGACCATGATTTCTACCCGTGCGGTTCCAGGCTGCATCTCCGGGGGCAGCACCCCGTCCCTGTGTCATAGTCTTACATACAAACACAACAAAGCTCACATCACGGACTTAGCTCTGTTCAGAGTCCCTCTTCACTCCGGCACATCCTTCCCCTCCCCCAAGCTCTTTTTCACTGCTGGCTTTATCATTCAACAGACAGGCCAGCCCCGCAGGTGTGGCCGTTGTCAGAGGCGATTAGCACGCTTCCTGGGTCTCCACTGAGGTCACCCAACGTTGAGGAGACAGGTCTGAGGCTGAAGGCCACAGCCACTCCCGGAGACTTTTCACATTAACCCTCTCATCTCCCTGTCACAGTGTGGTCACCCAGCCGCCACGCTTTCTCCTAACCACGCCAAGTGCGTGGTCCACGCATCTCCGAGGTAGTAAGGGACCCATTGCCACATACCTGGCCGAAATCAGAGTTTGTTACGCTCACTGAATTTTCTTCTTAGTTTTCAGAGTGCTCACAAACCATCTGCTTTAACGTTCTAGGATGTTGCAGGACATTAATCTCAAAATAATTTGGTCACTGAGTTGGGAAACTTACTAAAAACTAACAGAATGTTAGAACCAGAAGGTTCCTGGGAGATGCGGTAGGCCCACATTTTTCAAACCGTATTGGAAACCCCAAGGGTAGCTCAGGGCCACAGCGGGCAGTGAGGGGAGGCTGTCACACTGGGCTTGTCCCCGCTCCCATCTGCACTGCTCCACCTTCTATGCGTCTCTCTGTGTGAGATTTCCATTGATAAGAGGATGCCGCTGCTTAAAAGGGGCTCAAAAGTATCCAATCCCTCCATTTTACAGGTCAGGAAACTAAGGGCTCAGAGAGGGAATGTGATTTCCCCAAGGTCACACAGCATGAGGCGGAGCTAGAATCCAGGCGCTCTAACTCCCAAGCAAGATTTCTTTCAGTTTCTGGGGACTAGGGAATATTATGACCCAATCTTGGGCTAGTATCTCCTGAACCTTGGGGGTCTTCAGAATGCCAGGCTGGGTATGTGGGGGATGCAGGTGCCTGGTGTCTGCTCTGGCTGGAAGATGACTATGAGCCTGGGGAAGAGGCCTGGGACCATCCTTTCTCAAAGCTTCGGCCCACCTGGAGCACTTGGGTGGCGGCCAGCAGAGGGCGCTCTAACCCGAGGCTTGGCCACCGCAGGGCTGGCTTGGTGGACCGCAGGGGAGAAAACGCAGCAAGAGGTTGAGATCCAGCAGGAGCCATTCCTTCGAGCCATGGCGGAACAGAGCCTGTCATGGTGGGGGTTGTGAGTGGGCAGAGGTGTCGCGGGCCTGCAGGTACACTGCCTGGCGACGTGGCCTCCTCGACATCAGACTTGTACAGCAGGACTGTTCCACCTTGACCTTAGGCTTGGGGCATTTGCAGCCCCACTCCCTGCCCTCAGTCTCATTGCCCGTGTGTGCACATCCTACAGACTCTCGAGGCCAGAGAGGTCAGGAAGAAATGGACAGAGTGGCCCAGGCCCGGTCAGTGTCCACCCAGAGCAGGCCCCCTCAACATCTGAGTAACACGTTTCTGGAAACCTCAGCTGAGCCAGGCACTGGAGACAGGGCAGCCCTTCCCCAGGTCCTAGTGCAACTCCTTTGGGACAACAGGCCTGCCCTGGCGCAGTGCAAAAGGTGGGGATGCTAACGCCACCCGGGGCTCCCTGGCCCCGCAGGAGAGTGAGAGTGAAGGGGAGAAGGCTGGCCTGGCCAGTGAACAAGTGAGATTTTTTTGAGAGACAATGTGCCCATGTAGAAATGATAAAAATGATGGGTGTCATTTATTGAACATGTGCTGTCTGCTCAGCAAAGAGCCAAGGGATTTGCATGTATATTGCTAATTTTCACAGCCACCAGAATTACAATTAGCCCCATGAATTACAATTAGCCCCATTTTACAAATGAGAATCTGAGGGTCCGAGATGAAATCGCTGGCCCTAGGTCACATACCGCTCGTAGGTGGCAGGACCAAGATGGGTCTCCCTCCAGAGGCTAGGGACCCCTCTTCCCATTGTACAAGGCTGCAGCTGGCTCCTCCAGGCCACAGACACTGTGGGTAGGCAGCACGGTGACCTGAAAGGACCCTACACGACAAGTGCCTCCAAGCCAGCCGCCGCCCCCTGCTTCTTTCCCACAGATCTCGGCACCAAGGCAGGGAGTTTGGGAAAGCAAAGGCTCAAAGCCAGGAGACCTGGGCTCCGGTTCAGGGCATGAGCCCCTGGGTAAGTCACCTGTCTGATCTGTAAATGGGAGGGCACTGCTCCCTGTCTGGCCTGGGGCTCAGGCTGTTGTGGGGACCCAGTGAGAGGAAGTAGCTGCAAACCTCTGGAGTCTGCAGATAGCTGGATAAAGGCAGCTTCCACTTACAGAGGCCTTCCTGTGTGCCAGGCACTGCAAGTGGGTCACACGTATCACCTCATTCTTACGTAGACATTATGAGGCTGGGGAAAAAGCCCACATTTTGCATATGAAGTAGTTGAGGCACAGAGAGGTTAAGTAGCTCGAGGTCACATAGGAGCAAAGCCAGGATTGGACCCCCAGGTCTTCTGAGGCCGAAGCCTGGACAGAGCTCAGAGCCCTGGAGTGGGAAGGGCTGGGAAGGGCTGTGGAGCAGCCTCTAGAACGACAGCCCCCGGCCAGCTCCTGTGGGTGGAGCGGGAGTGCCTGTGGGGGCGGCTGTGTCTGCCCCAGCCGTGGAGGAGTCCCTCCTGGCTGCCCCGCTTGTGACCCCGGACTAGAGCACTCTGAGAGAGGGATGCCGACTCCCCGGATGGCGCTGGTGGGGGCTGGGAGGGAGACACGGGAGCCAGGGGCATTGCTCGTCCTCGGGGAGCGCGTGCGTATACAGTCGTCCCGGATATCAAGACCCACACGTGCTCAAGTCCCTCATATAAAACATCGTGGCACCTTCATAAAACCTGTGCACAACCTCCTGTACACTTTAAGTCATCTCTAGATTGTGTATAATGCCTAATACAGTGTAAATGCTACGTAAATAATTGTTATGCTGTATTGTATCAGGGAATGACGAGGAAAAACGTCTGTATGCGTTTAGTACAGATGCAATCATCTATTTTTTTCCTAATATTTTTGACCCACAGTTGGCTGAATGACTGTATACACACACACACACGAAGGGATGAGTGCAGGTACATGCACACACACGTATAAGCACCCCTAAACATATATGTGCGTAGCCCCAACCATACAGACCCAGATGCATGCAGACACGCATGGACCCACACATACCACAGCAGGCCGAGCACACACACCCCGACGTTCACACACGGGGTGCATGCACATACCTGAGCCCACATTCACACTCCTCCCAGGTCCCTGTTCCTCACACGTTCAGGTTGTCCCCCCGGCATTTTCCTTCATGTTCTCTGGGGAAGAGACTGACCATGGGATTCAGCCTTGGTTGCAGAGGGAAGGGGAGAGAAGAAGAGGGCAGAGCAGGGCAGGGGTGAGCAAAGGTCCGGTTATTTCAGCCCAGTTATTCGAGGTCTCTGCCAGTGGGAGAGAGGTTCTGAGCTCCTCCCCACTACCCCTCTTCCTAATCCCCGCACTCCAACTCACCTGCAGACAGGCCACCCCGATGCCCACTGCCCCCATGAGCAGCAGGTGGTCAGCCAGGAACTGCTCTAGCTTGGTGATGCAGCCTCCCTGTAAGAGAGCGGAGGGTTACACGGCCTTGGCCCGGAGCAGGTGGGGAGTGGGCGGGGAGGGCTGCCTGTCAGGCCGTATCCAGCCTGGACCAGCCTTTGACTAGATCACAGGCTTCTTGTGTGGCCCCAGGGGGCATGCCCAGTGTCCTAGAATCTCCTAGTAGGAGCTGCTTGTCCCCAGGGCTTTGTAGAGACCCCGGAAGGCCCCAGGCACTGTGGTCTCATGGCAAGGACTGAGTGTGTTCTGCTTTGCCCACATCCATCTGCCCGACCCGGCCTTCCCAGGGGCTCCTGAACCACCAGGCGGGGCCCTCTCTGGTCCCCAGCTTGAGCTCGGGCGCTCACCTCCACCTTGTAGATGTTGGAGGGGTGGGCCCGCTGGCCACAGCGTGTCACCACCGTCTTGCAGCAGCTGTCGGGCACCCGGCGGCCCTCAGCCTCCCTCGACAGGATGTATGTGCTGTGCTGCCAGTCGGCCGAGCTGTTGCTTCCGCAGCACTTGAACTGGGGGGACAGGCAGGGGCTGGAGGTGAGAGGAGGCTGCGTGGGGGCTCCCCCAGCCCCTTGGCTACAGGGCTGCGGGACACAGTGCTCAAGTACTAGCCCAAACCCTACTTGCTCCCCTGTGATCTTTCCCTTCCCTTGTTTTGTGTGAGGAGCTGGTGCTTCTCCTCAAGCCTGGTGCAGAATTGCCCGCTGGACACCTGTTTGCTACCACTTGTAGTCACCTGCTTCAGGAGATTATGCTGGTGTCCTGGGGGCAGGGCTGGTCTGTGAGTTGGGCGGGAAGATGGATGCTGGCAGGTCCCCAGAGAGTGAGGCTTGTACCACAGGGTGGCAGAACCCAGGGCAAAGCCACGAGCTGGGGAGGAGGGATTCCTGGTAGCCCAGGAGGCAGGACGTGGGGACAGGGACCCAGTCTTGCCAGAGGCTCCTGGCCCCCAGTCAGGCTCCGAAGCGTCAGAGCCCCAGACCTGCGGGGGCATGGAGGGTCCCGAAGCCCACGGTGTGGGCAGATCGGCGCCGACAGCTTCTTGCCCTCCTGAGTCAGGGCCCTGAGAGTCAAAGTCCCTTCCCCGGCCAGAGAACACGGCGGCCCCAGGACAAGGCGTGTGTGGGTGGGCAGGTGGGGGGAGGCACGTTCAGTTCCGCCGACAAGTGTTTGTCAGGTGTCTGTCTGCTGGCTAGTTAGAAGCAGCCCTCAGCTGTGCCTCTCGTGATGCCTGCCCACCGCCTTGCCCTGCCCCCTGCCCTGACCTTCCCTTGCCCAGCCCTGCTCCCCCCGCCCTGACCTGCCCCCACCCTGCCCTGCCCGCCCTGACCTGTCCCGGCCCTGACCGGTCGCTCCCATTCTTGCCACCTCAGCAAACTCTGCCCCTGCCCCATGGAGCCCTCCCCAGCTCCCCTGCTCTCTACTCTGAGGGTGCCCCCAGCCTAGCGCTGACCACACGCAGCCTGCTGTGTGTCCGGCTTCCTGAGTACGCCCCTGAGGGCAGGGATTCTGTCCTGTTCTTTGTCTCGCACGGTTCCTCCCGGGTGTGGCGCAGCGAGGACACACTTGCTTTGCACAGGACTGACCGGCGGTGTGTGCTGCCCCACTGCGGTCCTGGGCAAAGCCGTGGGTGTGGGTGTGCACCTGTGCGTGCACGGATGCCCCTGGCCACTATTTCGGTGAAGAGACCCCTCCGTGTAGCGCTGACCGGGAGCTGAGCCTGCGTCTTGGGGAGGCGGGAGGGGCTGTCCCCACTGAACCTCGATGTCCCTGGAGCATGGAGCTCACCACCTCTCTCTCCTCTGCCTGCCTGACCTTCCCGGGTCCAAGACCAAGGCCTCAGGCTGGGTGGAGGGGGCAGGGAGCCGGGGGCCCAGAGTGGGCAGGTAGAACTGCGTCCAATTTTCCAACACAGGGCCATCAGGATCCTAGAGCAGTGTGTCCACTGGAACTTTCTGAGATGGAGGAAATGTGCTACATCTGTGCTGTCCAGTTCGGTGCTTGCTAGCCATGTGTGGCTACTGGGCACCCGAAACGTGGCTGGCGTGGCTGAGGGACTGAATTTTGTATTCAATTTAACTGTAAATAGCTGCTCTGAGGGCTATTTGCCTGTCCCCTATCTCGTCAGTACGGCGGCCTCCCTGGAGGGATCTGCTTGCCTCTTCTTGGAAAGGAGGCCCCTGTTCTGCCCCCAGCACTCTGCCTGAGGGCTCACAACCGGAAA